ATATATATATATATTATAAAAAAGGATGAGAGAGAAGGTCTCTCCCTCCCAAAACAAAAAAAAAGAAATCTACGTAAGTTTTTTTTCCCATTTCTTCGCATCTCCTCACAACCATTCGGCCTCCCTTCGTTCGCGACACAGAACCACCCCTCTAGATTTGCGAAAAATCTCCCGATCCCTCTCCTCCGTCGCCGGCGCCGCTCGTCGTCGGACGCACCTCTCTCTTTCTTCTTTTTCTCCTTTTTCTTTTCTTCTTCTTCCTCTTCTATTTATTCTCCTTCTATTTCTTCTTCTTCTTCTTCTTCTTCTTCTTCTTCTTCTTCTTCTTCTATTTCTCTTATTCTTCCTTTTTTTTTGGCCAACTCCGACGCCGAGATCCCGGATCTTTTCCTCGCCGACCTTTTTTGGTCTCGCCGACGTCGTACCTACGCCGGAGAAAATCAGCGAACAGAACGTCGGATTTTGGGTTGTCCTCCGCATTTCTTTCGCTGGCTGTGCGTACGGCCGGCGAACTAAGTCCTCGATCTCGCCGTCCTACCTTCCCGACGACCGAAATCTTCGTTGCATTTCTTTCGCTGGCTGTGCGCACGGCCGGGGAACTAAGTCCTCGATCTCGCCGTCCTACCTTCCCGACGACCGAAATCTTCGTCGGAGCACTTTGACGTCGTCGGAGAGCGAGCGTTGTCGTTGTTTGAGGAGGTGCAAGCGTCTCTTCATTTGCAAGGAAAACTCCCCCTCTTTCACCGTCGTCGAGCGATCCTCTCTCGCGAAGGTACCTTTTTTGGTGTCGCATATTTTTATATGCTAAATTATTTATTTTTGGTACTTTGCATATCTCACTGCTTCCTATCTTTTATTCTCCTCGTTGCATGATTCACTATGGGATGCACTGGAGCACGAACTGGACGTCGACGACTTGGAGCAAGTAAAGAGAACGTGTCTGCAACCTTCGCGGTGGTGAGATTCCCCTAAACTCCTAGCTAGCCTTAGGTTTAGTGGTGTCTAGGCGTGTGTGTTAGATCGCCCACAAGGGATTGGGTCTTTCTGTTGATCTTTGCACGTTCTGCGAGGCACACTACGAGCTTGAAGCAAGCAAAGAGAATGTGGGTTCGATCGCGTGTGGGTTCGATCCTTTAAACTTATAGTTGGCCATAAGTTTTAGTGGTGTCTACGCGTGTCGGTTCGATCGCCCACACGGGGTGCGTGCGCCGGCGTGGGTCGGCGCGACGACGTACCTGCATGATGGATCGTTGGTTTTCCTAGAACGAGCCTTTATGTTAGGATCTTTCCCACGTAACCAAACACCCCCCATAGAGCCGAGTGTCTCCCTTTTGTTATGAGCCTTAGCACAAGTGTCGATGGGTCGGAGTCCCTCACTCCCCTTGCTTTGGGTTCCCCAGCTTTACTTGGAAAAGTTGGGAGGTCATATTTGGCAAGGCGAGAGAAGATTTGTACCTGTCTCGCTTTGCAAAGTCTGGAGGAGTTCACAAAATGGAAAAAGCTTTGTAGCTAGCCTATTTCGTGACACCGTTGAGAGTTTCCCCCATGGAGGTCCGGGGAGAAACTCCTCACATTTCCTCACCAAAGTAAGAGGCGGCGGTGCCGT